TGCTAGATGATACTGTTTAATCGATGGGACTGAGAGCATACCAATTCATCTGGTCATACAGGATGCACAGAAACCAAGATCAGAAGTTGATCTGGTCTTGTGCAATAGAAGTGAAGGTGTAAGTTTAATTATGAATGAAACAGCTAAAATGTATGCCATAAAGTATGAATTATATTATAGTGGGTATACATGAAAGTAGGAATTCCTTTGTTGGCAATAGTTGCCTGTTATGCTCCACTGAATGGTGATAATGGTAGAGCTAGATATGAGTTTTGGGGGATATTATGGAACATTCTGAATGAATATGATTCAGGGGAAAATGTTATTTTGCAAGGTAAACATGAATGGATAGGGAGGAACAAGACCAGAGAGTACAGAAAAAGTGTTGGGCCATTCAGAACTAAAAAATGGGCTTTTCATACATGCTTTAGTTATAAGTCTATTCTTGTGTACCCATGGCAAAAGAATATCAGACTAAAAAATGATTAATTTGATTATTTATGATGAAAGATGAATTAGTGAAGTATGCAAAAGTGATATGGTTCTGAATATGGAATAGACCATTTCTTGGCAATCTCAAGAATGGTCTTGGGGAAAAAATAGTGTGGAAAAAAGGGGAAGCAGAACAACTACAGGAGGAAAAGGTATGTGTCCTGTGTGACAAAGGAGTAGATGATAGATTAATCACCCAGTGGAATGAAGGAAGAATTGATATAAGGAAATATGTTGTGGAAATTGCTTGGAACAGACTGAAAAGAATCATATCACAGAGGTATATAGAGTTATGCCAGCGGGAAATGATGGAATGATGAAATAAAAGATGATGTAAATATGTATTTAAGAGAACGATTGCAGCAAAAATGAGGATGAGGGAAAGTTGTATAATGTATGCATTAGAGAAATTATAGTTGCAAACAATATAGCCAAGCAGAGCAAGGAACAGTTATCATTAAAAGAGGCAGAGAAAATGCAGGGTGATTTTGATAGAAAACTTTAAGAAGTGTTTTGGAAGGGGGTAAAAAGGACTAATTCCTTCATGGATGGCTGCCTTGTAGTGGCAAAAGGGTTTATGTATCCCAATGAAATTATGAGCTATGCTATTGGGAGAAAGAATACCCAGATAGATTACAGATCAGGGGGCAGACTAAATACAACCCACTGCAGAAGGAAATGGCAGCTCACTCCAGCACATAAATACAGATGGATTTCTTTATTTATTATTTTTACATACCACTAGATTAAACAAAAATGATATATGATGGTTTACAACATAGAAACATAAAAACTGAATAAGAATATAAAAGCCAACAAAGAATACAAACAACCATAAAAGTTGTAAGTATAACAGTGATCATTCTTTTCCAGAAGGACTCCAGAACAATTATCATTAACAATTTCCGGCCAAAATAAGACTGTCAATCTAATATCAAGATGGAGGGTGTTCCACAACATGGAAAGTACAATAGAAAAACATTGTGAACCTCCTCCCCTTTTCTCTCCACTACATTTTACAAAAGGCGTACAATTTACCCCAAAAGGCTAAATAGCAATATATAGAGTTAAAACATTTATTACATATATTATTTGGCCCCAGTGTCTTCAAGGCCTCTGAAACTCTGGAGACATTTAGCCTATTGAAGATAACTTCTACTGAAACTAATCTGATAATGTATTATTACCAAACTGTTTGAAAATTACAAACATAAATTTGGACAATATATAAGAAATTTGGAATAGAGAATTAGAATTTTATGTTACCCAATCAATGGCTTCAGAGAGGTAGAAAGATGAGAGCAAGTGTGGTATAGTGCTTAAGGTACAAGGCTAGGAGTGGGGAGACCCGTTCTAGATCTCCCTTAAACACAAAAGTCAGCTGCTGGGTGACTTTGGGTCAGTCACTCTCTTTCAGCCATAGACTGGGAAGTAAAAAAAAAATCTCCCTATCTATCTATGTATCATCTTCGATGAAGATGCCATCATGCTACAGTGGATTAATTCAGGGTAATTTTATACACACACACAATTTTTGCATTGCAGATGAGTTTTGATTGTGTGGTCCACAACAAATTGTGGATAGCCCTTAAAAACATTGGTCACTCTATCTGCTTATTGAAGGTTTTGTATGATGACCAAAAAGCAATACTTGGAGCAACTAAATAACTCAATATTGGGCAAGGAGTGTGCCAAGGTTATATATTGTCACCTTATTTAATTTATGTGCAGAATGTATCATAATGCTTGACTAAGAAATAGAAATTGGAATTAAAATCACTGCAGGTATGCTGTTTATACCATTTTGATGACTGGAAGTAAGGAAGACTTAAGGAAAGTCTTGTTGAAGTACAGAATGCAAAAACTAGTCTGCTGCTCAATATTAAAAAAACAAACAAACCCTAAGATTATGCCAATAGACAATGCCCACCCAATGCAAATTAGTGGACAAGAAGCTGAAGTAGCAAGGGACTTTATCTTCCTAGGCTCAAAAATGCACAGGTATGGTAGCAATGAAATGAAGAAATACCTGCTACTTGGAAGAAAGACTATGATAGTCCTAGAGAAAATATTAAACTATAGAGACATCACACCAACAAGGTATGTGTTGTCCAGGCTATGGCTTTCCAGTTATACTATATAGCTGTAAAAGCTAGATCATCAGAAAGGCTGAAGGGGGGAAAATGATGCCTTTGAACTGTGATGCTGGAGAAAGTTGTTGGGAATATCTTGGACTGAAAGAAGAATAATGTATTCAGTACTAGGTGAAGTAAAGCAGACCACTTACTAGAAGCAAAACACATGTTAAATGTTAAAGCATAAAATTTTGAATATACAATACAAAAGCAAGAGTAATTGATTGCCTGATTGTGAGCCAACCAGAGTCACCCTCTGGGGGAAATGGACGGCATATAAATTTAATAAATAAATAATAGGAGAAGACCCCAATGATCATTTAGAGAGATGTGATATTTCAAGAACAAAAGGCAATGTATGAAACAGTATGAAATAGAAGAAACAAGAATGGATTAGGGTGTCAGGTTAATTTGACAACAAATCACATAATGCACCAGTGCCTCCCCACTTCCTGGTCTTTTGTTCATTTTGCTTTCTGAAGTGGTGCTTCACGCTGCCAAAAGGTAGGAGGTAATGAAGACTATCAGGCTGAATATTCTTAAGAGAGACCATTTAAAACCATATTGCAGCTACCTCAGCTGGACCTTTTCAGTGAATTCTTCTATCAGCCTTTGCTCACTAGAGATCCTTAATGTAACTCTGCTTTTGCTCTATCAAAGAGATTTCTTGGGAACTGGTTACTATTCTGCCTGAATACAGACAGCATTGTTCTTATCTGTGGTGAAGATAATATTTTGAGGGTGCTGATTAGGTAAAGAACCATCAATAGCATACACTGGTCTCCTTTTCTCCTAAGAAACAGTATTTCTCTGGAAATCTACAATGTACATGGCAAATGAGGAAAGGCCTATGTATGGTAATCCTTACCCACAGAGCCCCTCTGTGCCCCATCATGTCAGAAGGATCTTTTTATTACTATAAGGATCCTAATTTCTAATCCTGGAAATATGAACTCTTTTAATCTTTTATCTGCTGTCTTTATTTCTTTTTAAATTACATTAAAACATGTAAATTAAATTAAAAACATGTAAAATCATGTTTACTTTTATTTTATCTTGGCTAGAAACCATTAATGAAAACTAATTTATCTAGAGAAAGGTAGCATGAAAATCTACATTGTACAGAAGAGGTTTCTATGCAAAACATCTGGAGAGAGCAAGCATCATTTCACTAGTGAGGTCTGATGCTTAAGTGCTGGTGAATCAGGTCACAGAGAATAATATTCTAAGGGAGCAGAAGACAGCTTTATGTAATGGCATTTATATATTCCCATAAACTCTGGTTTTCTTCCCAACAGCTTTCCATGCCGCCAGTTCAAAGAGGAAGACATACCAACCCCAGCCAAACAGAAATGGTTTCATTCATAAATACTTCTGTAATGGCATATTTATGAAATCAGCTTGCTTTAAGAACACGCAAGTGTATTATTTACCCTTATTTATTGCATGGGTACAGGCAGTTATTTGCATGGATATCATCCAAGGCCAGTCTACTGCCACGCTGCGGATCTGAGGTATCCTGCAGGGTCCAGATAGCGAGGTGGGGAGATGGAAGCAAACTGGAAAGGTTAGGGGCGAAGGCAAACGTTGGACGGCTGTTCTGCGCCCGGCGGGGGCTGGGTGTTTTTAAAAGAGAAACAGTTGGTCACAACTGGAAAATAAATATACATTAAAAATTAAATCGGCCCCCAAAGGATCCAGTCCTTGGGTTCTGTAAACGGCGGAAGATGCCTACAGTTTCCAAGAGGGGTCCGCAGGAACTTGGGAGCGAGGCGCCCTGGTAACCGTTCCCTGGAGAGAAGAGTCCCCCAGTCTTTTTACTGGCTGCGGTCTGTCCCTCCTTTCGCCTCCCCCACAGAAGCTGTCAGTAATCGCTCTCTAAAGGCAGAGAGAGGTGAAGGCCGACTGGTTTTAATCTCCCGGGGAGGATTCCGCAGCTCTCTTAATC